TCAGATTTAAGTGCCTAGAGAAGGCTTGCTGAAGAGAAGTAATATCAAAATTTAGACCAGCAGGAAACTAGGAATTAGCTTGGTAAATTAGTATGTGGAAAGCAAGACTGAGGAATTTGAACTTCTTTCTTGAGGGCAGTGGAGTCATTTAAGTTGCTTAAATTGATTAATTAATTGATGACAACACTTTAGGGCAGGTGTCCTCAAACTACGGCCCATGGGCCACATGGTGATTTTGCCCTTTAGTTTTTTACTTCAAAATAAGATATGTGCAGTGTGCATAGGAATTTGTTCATAGTTTTTTTAAACTAGAGTCCGGCCCTCCCACGGTCTGAGGGACAGTGAACTGGCCCCCTGTTTAAAAACTTTGAGGACTCCTGCTTTAGGGTGAGCACACTGAAAAATGTATTGAGGAGGAAAGGCTAGTAGATCAGTTGAAGACTTCTACAGGCTTCAAATGACATTAGATGGTGTCCAGAACCAGAGCGTAAAGCAGGGGCAGGAGTGGAGAAGTCAAGGTTGATACAGCAGTCCCCAGCCTTTTTGGCACCAGGGACCGGTTTCATGGAAGACAGTTTTTCCACAAGGGGTAGGGGCAGCTCAGGCAGTGATGTGAGCCATAGGGAGCAGCTGTAAATACAGATGAAGCTTTGCTTATGGTGGGATTGGGGGACCACAGATCTAGAAGACAAAAGTCAGGAAGCTGGGTGAGGTGTGATACAAAGACTCAGGGGTGGTGCCCAGGTTTCTGTTTTGAATAATGACTTAGATGTTAGGTACCACTCACCAAAGGAAGGAACACAGGGGGAGGAGCAGGTCTGCAGGAAGACTTAAATAAACTGCCACACTGTGGAGTTTCAGGGGCCTGGGGAATATCCACCCACAGGGAAGCAGGGAGATGAATGAGTCTAGAGTTCAAAGGAGGGATGTGGCTTTAAAATTCGAAAAATGAGAGTAGCCAGCATAGTGTATGCAGATTGTCTGATAAGCAGTAGGAGTAAATGAGGAGATTGGGGTGAGGGAGAAGAGAGGCAAATATAGAATGCTGGGGAAATAACTTCACTAGATGCTTTCCATATCCTTTTCAGGAAGAAAACTCCAGGTATAAATTGTGACTGTTCTTATTTTCATAGTCTAACAAGTACATAGTTGCTGGGTGAATTTTCACTAAATTGCGTTAGAATTCTGCATATTCAGAAAGGAAGATGAAAATGTAAATACGTTTCACCTAGACAGCCTTTCTTGGAATCACGTAGGCATTATTCTGTTTCAGCAAGGATTCGAGTGCCTTTTACTTTGTCCTGGCATAATCTGTGCATGCTCTAATGTCTTCTGTTAACCTACTTCTCAGCTCAGCCGCAGACGCAGCCAGCAAGGCGGATCTCCTTCTCCGTCAGCATCTCTCCGCTCCTCCTTAAGTCTAAAACTCTCTTTTCTCTTGGCTCTTCTTATTCCAGTGATGAGGAGGAGGAGTTGCATAGTAAGTAAGCCACTTTGGTGTCCAGTGACTGTTCTTCAAGGTCTGACCAGCTCAGAAAATGCTGCAGGCTTGGTACTAAGAAATTGTTTGGGGACTTTTCTCCCCTTGCATGCCATCTTTTGTAAATCATTTGTCTTTCTGCTTGGCTGTGAAATGCTTCGGATAGAACAATTTCTGTCTTTTGTACACTCCTAATACTGATTCCAGAGCACAAGATGTCTTTCCAGCACACAGATACCCTCAAAGGCATACGGGATGTGTTCCCATCCCAATTTGTACTCTTTGTCATATTGTGTACTAATTTCACAAAACTCTTCATTTGACAATGTAGATTTTAATTTCCTTGTTTCATTTTTCTGTCTCGTGGGACAGATATCTAGATAATCCATTTGTGATATTTGACAGCTATTGTTATACTTTTTTTTCCCTCCGTTTTAGACCATTTCTTTAAAAATGCCTTTCCTTTAAGATTAGACCATGTGGATTAGAAGGTAGGAGTTATATATTTGTTTCTCTCCTACTTTCTCTCCTTTTGAACTTTTATTTTTCAGTTTTTTGAGTAAGCTGTAGGTTTCAGATGAATACACGAATTCTTACTTGATAATACCTAATTTAAAAACTTTATGAGGTATCAGTTTTGGTAAACTTGGAAAGGAAATGAATTTCCCCTTTATGAAAATCACTGTCTTCAATTGTATGAGATTTCTAGAATAATTCAGGATTGCTATTTTTAATGAAAAAAGCATTTGTAGTAGAAAGTTAAATAAATAATAAATTGTTTTCATTTTATGAAACTAATATTATTAGTCTATGACAGTTACAGTATCTATATAGATTATTGAGCACCCTGATTCCTTACCACTTGCTGACTCTATGTTTCAGCAATATTTAAGTCTTGCTCAGGCTGGCATTTTTATTAATATATTGTTCTTAAAGGGAAATGCCTTATGCACAGTAACATAAACAGTTAATTTGGTTTTAAATGGAGGCCTATTATTTTCACTATTAAAAGATGTGTGACAAATAGACACAAAATAGATAATCACATTATGCCAGTTGTTATAGGAGAAAAGCTGTGAAAATCCAATTTTGAGTGTTCAGAAATTCTCAAAGCTGTTTCATCTCAAAGTATTTGCAGTATACTGGGAAGTAGCCGGGTCAGGGTGACAAATAAACTAAAGTCCCAGTAGTATTTCTTCTACCATTGATACAGAACTATAATCCCATAACAGTGTTGATCACTCAGTTAATCCAACATGATGGAATCCTAAAAATATAGAACCTTGAAGAATGCTTTGAATCAAACTTCTAGAATTTCTCAAAATGTGTTCCTTAAACTCAAAAATGCCAGTAAGAATTATGTGGTTGGGTTGGTTCATGGCCAATAAATTGAGGAAACTCTGGGTTAAGCAGGTTTAAAATGCTACTGCATTGAATTTCCAAGGCAGTGTTAAATACACTGTTTCCCAAATTAACTAGGAAACCATAGTATGTACAGGACTGTATGAAACATTTCATGAAACTAGTGTTCCATGGAACACACTTTGAAAACTATTGACCATGTCCATCCAGTAGTTCCAACCAGAAGTCCCTGGATGTAGTATAATAGGTCTGCAGGTTATATAGTGCCTTTAAAAAAATCTAGTTGAAATATATGCCTGCAGTTACACTTACAGGCTACCTTTTTTGTCTGTAATTTTCTCATGGAAGTAACAATGGTTGTTTCATACTCTTAGATGCTCTGAAAACTTGATGACATTTTTAGGAATTACAGAGGCATAGGTAGATTAATCTCTGTTTGCAGAGCCACATCCAAAAGTCATAGTAATTGAACTAAAATTTTTTCCTCAGTGAAAAAATTGGAAATCCTTATAGGAATTACAGATTGTCTTAGTATTCAATCACATATTTGTTTAATTTATTCCACAGAAATCTATAGGGAGCTTTTTCTTGGCCACGCTTTGAGTTGGTTGCTATCTTTATGCATTATGGATTTTATTTTTATTTTCTTCATATTACTAGGGTGGTAACTTACTAGGTAATTGCCTCAATGTACAGCAGAATCCTGGCGGCCTGAGAAAATTTAATGCTACTTATATCATTGAAGGCTCCTTGGGTGGAAAAAGTTTGAAAGCCACTAATTATACAACCCTCTGGATAGTTTAAGTAAGCTAAGTCTCCATGAGGTTAAAATGCTGGTAGTTTCACACCTAGATCATGCAGAGCCAGGGGATAGATCTCAGATACTTTGCTGATCTTTCTCCCTCACCTGGCAGCTGTTACCATATATCATAAGTGAAGCGAAGACTCCCAAATGGGGAAAAGGATAAAATATAGAAAGCAAACTTTCAAAGACTTAGAATTTATTTCTAAAGTTTCTTATGTATAATAGTATCACTATTGTTATCAGTTTAAATTGCTTGGTAATAACTATGGTTTTGCATTTCTGTTCAGAATCTAGAACAGTTTAGGAGTTAGAGTTTTAAGTGCTAGTAATGTGTTATAGAACATCTTCAGATCTCTGTCAGGTTAAAGTTTTGCTAACAGTGATCTCAGAAATCCTTGAAGCCTACCTTGAGGAGAAAGGGTGTGTTTTGTCCACATCATAACAGTAGTTATACAGAGCAGCCCTTGTCTACCTGGAATATACATAGAAAGTATTAATATTTCTATACCTGATCTCCTAAATGGTTTTATCATTGTGTGATTGAGGGCCTGCTCTCATCTAAGTCCTCAGCAGTTCAAACGTTATTAACATGTGCTAGGTCAAAATAATGATAGTATTCCTTCTACGTTTTCTGCTTACTACCCTACTGTCTGACTTAGCCTTATGATTTTAATGACCTGCTTCAGTTATGATCTGATAGTTATGTAAGGAAGAAGAATGCATCTGCCTCATTCTTCTTATCACTGTCAACCTGTTTTATCTCCCTTATTTCACAGATGAAGAAATGAAATCCAAAGGTCTCATCTTAAGTTAGTGTCAGGGCCAAGACTTGATAAGCCAGCTCTGATGCTCTTTCTTGCTTGCTAATCTATTTCTAGGAATTCTCAGGAAAATATGAGATTGGCTAGATTATTACGATAGAAATATATGAAAGCAGGATTAACAGTGGCAAAATAATGACATTCAGTTTCCTACTTTATACTTTTCCTGTGACATCATCTGAGAAAGATGGCCTTTGGAAACTGAACATTGATAAGAACAGGAATTAAAAATGCATCATGTGTGTTTAAGCATTAGAAAAAAATGCTTTGGGTTTTTTTTCAATTACTTGAATCCTAGATTAATTTTGTTTTCTTTATGGGAAATTCACTCCCTATTGCTACCTATTTCTAGTTGTAATTTGAGGGTTTCAAGTTTATTTTTTCCTTCTTTAGAAGGAGACAGCACCATGCACTGACTTTCAAATGCTATTTCTGCTTTAGCTGTGTTATTGGAAATGTTTAAATATTTTACCTGTCATCAGGGCAAAGTCCTTTTTGTTCTAACTTTTCCTCTTCATTTTTTGTTTTCTAGATTCTCGGCCCTTCCACACCACCAGTGCTAATCTGACTGAGAGGTACTATACATTGCTTTTGTTACTCCTTTTCCTGACATAAAATGAAAGAAATTTCAAATCTCTTAATGGCTTTTAATTAAGTAAAATAAGTAAATTGAGCTCATTGGTGAAAGCACCATATCCTAGCCACTGGAACACCAGGGAGTCGAATTTGAACTCATTGGGTTCTTCCTTTAGTGATAAATTTGGAATGATAGTTAGAAGTGGTTTTCTAATGAAGGCTATATCTCTTGAAATTAGTATCTTCAGTAGTTTTCTGCTTTTATTCTTTATACTGTCCTCATGGTAAAGATAATTGTTTGCATTTATTAATGTGATAATTATAATATATTGACAGAGAATTTATGCATACTTTGCTTATGGGGATTTTTAATTTCTAAGTCTAACAACATTTTCTTTCATAGTATATATACATTATAAAGTTCATATGTTGCTGCTACCAAGTAAATGAATTGATTCTTTGACAGCAAGCAAAAGATTTCTATTCTGACTCATTGTTTATTTTTATATTTCTCTTTTCATGCTTATAAAATTAAATGCTCTAATTTAAGCACAAGCGGGGTTCAGATTGTTGCTCTACAATTTTTTTTTAAGTTGCCCTCCTTTTTACAAAGGCATTGGTTCTGACTCAGTGATTCAGAACCCTCACAATGAGTGCTGCTCTTTGTACTGCTTTCACATCTAATTCATTCTTGCTCCTTTCTAGAGCAGTGGTTTTCATACCCTTTCCCCTTTGTCTTAGGGCAGGCTGCTTTGTTTTATAAACAACACTTATGTATAACTAGACTTTAGCTGTTGCAGAGCACCCCTCAGGCCCTACTCTACCTGCCCTCTCACAGAGGCCCTGAAGGCGAACACTGCTGTTACCTGGGGAAGTTCTAAAATAACTGTTCTAGAACACATAAGCAAACTAGTATAAATGGATTCTTTTTCTATGTAATGGATTATTTACCAAAGTGCCCAGCATTCTTTAAGGAAATAAACCATTGTAAATTTCCTAAATTCAAAATATGTCCATTTTGGGTGGACTTAGATTTTATGTAGGCTTCCTGAACAAGTAGATGAGTAATCTGAATCTGTGTAAAACTCCTAAAATGGATCTTTCTACAGTCTGCCTCAGTTCTGCCTGCCATTCAATATATTCCCTCCTAAAATTGTGCATAGCTACATGAACAGTCCACAGTCTTGATTGTTGGTTGTGCCAAAGGTTACAAAAGATGTGTAACCTCCACTGTTAAAGAACTTGGATATGCAGTCAGTCATAAGATTCCTTGTTTGCAACCTTTATTAACAAGTACCCTGTCATTCCATTACATACATGGATTTCCTTTCAAGCACCTGTTTGTTGCAAAGAAGTTTGTAGATTGAGTTTTAGATTAAGAGATTTCTGATAAAGTAATTAATGAATAATTGACAGGCTCTTTTTAACATCAGATCACTGAAAATCCATAGTTAAAAATAAATGATGGATAAAAGAAAACTTAGCCTGGTTTTGACAACAGAACATGGGCATTGTGGCATACTCTGTTCTTAGATATTATTGTATAAGATCATTCAGCAGCCTCTGTCCATCTTTTATTCTGCTTGCCACTTCCGCGGTCCTATAAAAATAATCTGCCTTCTTGTTTTATTTAGTATAACAGAAGAGAACTTCAATTTCCTGCCACAAAGCCCCTCCAAGAAAGATTTTGAAGGGAAGAGTGGAACAAAAGTTAGTCGTACCTTCAGCTACATCAAGAATAAAATGTCCAGCAGTAAGAAGAGCAAAGTAAGTATCGGTGTGGGCATTCCTCTGTGTCCACCTTATTTAGTCATCAGCTGGATCCTGTCACAGCCTGCACATCCCAAAACTAATTAAATGATAGGAATGTACATGGAAATAAATTCAGGGTTACTCTCTGAAATAGCCTAATATTTGGAAGAAAATAACAATAGGAAAAATAGCAGCAAGAGGTATTGCCACTTACTGAGTTTTTACTATATGCTAACAACTTTGCATGTATTATCTCATGTAATCCTTTCAATAACCCTGTAATGTAGGTATTATCTTCCTTTTCTAGGAGTGAGGTACCTTATCTGAGGGTGAGCTCCTAATGTGAAGAAGAGATTCAAGCCCAGATCTCTTTGGTTTCAAATGCCATACTCTCAACCACAATGCTTAAATCAGTAAATCAGATTTAAAATGCAACAGAAGGATATTCTGCCAAGATCAGGAGATTAAATCTCCTGTAATAACCGCCATAGAGAGAACTACTTTTTGGTTTATGTATTTCTAATTTTTTTCCAATGTATTTGTTTAAAAACAGAAAAGTTAACTTTTTCACACCTATTCCATTTCAGTTCCATGGAGAAAAACTTTCTGCCTCCTACTTGCCCACACCTCGTTCACCTACCCGCACACCTTCCAACAAAATAAAGAAATAAGTAAATAACATGTGAAATCCATTAAGGAACTCTTACAGGGAATCACTTTACATATGTGTGTGTGTGTATTTGTGGGTGTGTATGTAGTATACACATTTGTGTACAAAACATACCTACTGAGAAGTAAGGGAATAAACATTAAACTCAAGAGAATTATCAAGAATATTGTTATAAAAGTGCACCCCCTTCTCCCTTACAAAATAGGGCACCAAGCCTCTCAAGTCCTCAACTAAGTGGGCTGGTAGAAATACAGCCAGCATATTTTACCACATTTGTAAAAGTAAAATGTCTTTCTTTGAGCAAATACTAAGTTTGATCATCATTCAGAGGAATTTTTCCATAAAACCTGCCACCAGAATCGTGTTTTCTCTTCATTTCTCCTAAGTGCAGAATGGAGAGAAAGTGGGCAGCCAGGGGAGACATGGAGAGTCTGGCCAGGCCTTTCTAGTGTAATCACATAATTATTAACAGTATTAACCTCATACTTATCACTGCTGGGTTGGACACGCATTGGCACCAGCAAAAAGAAAATCCCCTTGGCCAGATCATTATAAATTGCCAAGTATTACTGAGTGACTTGTATGGTCTTAGCATTCTGCTAACCTAAAAGAACAAAAGCTGATAGTCTTAACCTTAAAAATTTTATGGTCTAGTTTGGATGATTTCAAAATATTTTTGTTTTTGTTTTTTATTATGGAATCTGTCTTCAAGGAAACTTATAGTTGGAAAACCAATAAATAAGTGGAGATTCCCTTTTCTGTCCATCTCCTCAATGACATGGATTTTTAGGACAGAGCAGTGAATACACCACTGATCTCATTGATGAGGTAATACAGATGTTGAAAAAAAGATAGTGTAAGTCCAGCTTTAGAAGCTGGAACCTGACCTTTAAAAAAAGTCTCATCATTTTACAGACTGTAGCACAGAGAAGACTGCTTCTAGTCACACAACCTCTTGTGGTCTGACTTCCAGCAAGCAGTACTCATCATTCCATGCTTAGTCTTAATCGGAATCTATTACTAAATAGTGTATGTGTTTTGTTTTGTTTTGTTTAACTTTTTTTTTTTTCTTTATTTTTGAGACAGAGTCTCACTCTGTTGCCCAGGCTAGAGTGAGTGCCGTGGCATCAGCCTAGCTCACAGCAACCTCAAACTTCTGGGCTCAGGCAATCCTCCTGCCTCAGCCTCCCGAGTAGCTGGGACTACAGGCGTGCACCACCATGCCCGGCTAATTTTTTCTATATATATTAGTTGGCCAATTAATTTCTTTCTATTTATATAGTAGAGACGGGGTCTCGCTCTTGCTCAGGCTGGTTTCGAACTCCTGACCTGGAGCAATCCGCCTGCCTCGCCCTCCCAGAGTGCTAGAATTACAGGCGTGAGCCACCGTGCCCGGCCTGTTTAACTTTTTAAATCTCAAAAGCCTGTAGTTTGCTGGGAGGGAATGAGGAGATAGGACAGAAGAAAAGTAGGTAATTTGTTTTGGAATTAAATCTGTCATCACTGGTAGAAACTGAACTATCAGTTGACCTTTTGCCTCTGATCATCTCCTTTGCCAAAACAACAAGGCTGTTTTGCAATTGAGATTGATTCCTCTTTCAGACTTGGCTTCAAGATTTAATCTTTGGAGCCTATGTTGTCTCTAGCAATGGAAACTCAAACAGTTACAGACCTGTAATCCTGTATCGCAATATGTTTCCCGTTATCAGGTACTTAGAGTACCCCAGTGGCCAAGCATATTAGGAGTCACCTTTCATAGGTAGTCGTTATTAGCTAACTTTTAAATGAGATTGTTACAGAACCTCTTAGAGAACAGCTTAGCTTTTGTCAATGTAACAAAGATAATAAGAAATAGGGGAAATAGTGAAGCAATAAATTTTATGTTAATTTACATTAAACACCTGTCTTAATACGCCATGCATCCACAATAGAGCTCTACCATATAGAAATGTTTTATTTTCTAAGTGATAATGTAAAAATAAATGAATATTAAATTTTCTTAACATGATGATACTCTAATCTTTTTAACTATTGAATACTGTTACTTCTCCATAATGTTAAAAAATTGAAAGTGCTGCTATGGATGTTAACACTAATTTTTCTATGAAAATGATGTTTTCACATCTTTTAAATTAGTTTTTAATTCGATGCTATGAAAGACCATCTAATTTACTTTTTTTTATCTACTATATAATGTAACCATGCCTACTTCTTTTAAAGGAAAAATTTAAGCATTTACTTAATATGATATCAAAATACCACCTATAATTAGTGAAGTGTCTAAGGATGATTTGGAGATTTCTCCTTTTTTATTTATATATATGAAAATAGCTTATAGTTATCAACCTGGAAACATTATATTCAGTATGTTAAATTGTGATTATAAACAGTTCTTAAATAATCAGAGGAGCAAAAGTCAGCCACTAGGCAGCAAATTGTTCACATTCCTGGGGAGGGTAACATTTTACCTGGAGCACTGGGTTTTATGTATATAAATTTAAGAAATTGAGTCACTGATACTTCATATTTCCTTTTGAGAATTATCCAATAACTGGCATAAGTTATAAGATAATATCTGAATGTTTCTTTGCAGGGGGTGCTAAAGAGGAAGTATAACAGGAAGACTGACAGTTTCTGCTTTTGTCTTAGTATCTTTGTTTTCTGCTAAGTAAATTTGCTTGTTACAGAATATTTAAGTACTCATATGCATAATGTTCAAGTTCATAAAGGAAGTGGAGTGAGGCTCTTTAAACAGTCCTATCACACTGGTTTGTTTGGTTGTTTTTTGGGTTTTTTTCCTGCTAAGCTTTCCTTTTTGTAGATAAGTAGAAGATGGTTAGAAATGCTTTAGATCCTTAATCTCACTTGAGGGTAGGTATTTTTGAGTCTAAGAATTAAATTCTTACACAGCTGCTAATATACTATTGTCTTTTAACAGGACAATTCCTAGTTTCTGTGGTCTGCATAAAAAATGCCTACTAGAGTAGAATAGTGTTTGCAAAGATTTAAGTGAGTGTATACAGATACACAGTGTGTGGGAATAGAGCTTAAGTTGCAATATGGGAATTCTGGCAAGGTTTGAGGGCAAGTTTTTACCACTAGAAGCTAAGGAACACATCTTACATATCAGTTATAATTATTTCATTCATTCTTTGATTAAAGATCTGCAACATGTTGTTTAATTACATCGTCTGCACAGTTGTCCAGAGTATTGTGGGTTTTTTAAATTATAATTACTTGTCTGAAAGGGAAGGTTTAGAAAAGTGAAGAATCATTTTTTTCCATGGTATCCTAGCATAGTTGTTACCTACATCTTTCCCTGTTAAACACTGTTAGCTTCTGTTTCTCCAGCACACAGTTAAAGCATTTGGCAGTTGTTAAACATGGAAATGTGAGACTGCAGAAAACAAGCATTCACCACTTTACCACAGGCAGCCTCACTAAAAAGTTTTCTTATGAAACTCACTGCTTTTTTTTAATAAAATGAGGAGTCTGTTCTTAAATAGATAAGATGTGTTCCTTAGCTTCTAGTGTTAAAAACTTGGCCTCAAACCCTGCCAGAGTTCCCATATGGCAACTTAAGCAGTATTCCCACCCACTGTATTTTGGGGAATGAGTTTTGTTTCATTTCCTGTGTCCTTTGTCACTAGAGTTGTTGGCTTTACCAGCAGCATTCAAATAGTTAAGATTGTCTTAAGGAAACAAGCAGCCTCAGCCCTCCCTCCTTCTTTCTCAACCAGTCTCTGGCTTCCTCTTACGGTTTCACTAATGGCAGCTCAGAGCTGCTGAGCTCTGTCTTGCCGGCATGAGCCCTTCCTTCTGTGAGAGCACATTTCCTGGCATGGGCCTTGAATCATGTCTATAAAATGGGGCCGGTTTCATGAAGCACCCCTCATAACGGTGAGATTCATGGGACCAAAACATGGGGAGGTAAGAGCCTGACTTTATTGCACTAAGTTCTGTTACAATAAACACAGGTGGTGGAGTCAGTTGCTTTGTTTTTTTTGTTTGTTTGTTTGTTTGTTTGTTTTTTCATCCTAGGAAGAACTAATTTTGGTTGTTGCAAAGGATCAGGATATTATTATTTATTCAGATTTGAAGAGCATCGTAAGACTTGAGAGAATAAGCTAGTTGCCATCGATTTTTTTTAACTATTGGAGTGTGCCATAGCTTTCCTGAGCAAAAAATCAGATGCTTTTTGGTTTAATGTTTCATGCATGGAGAAACCTTCAGCAAAATTTCATTAAAAGAAAGAAATTATTTGAAGAAACTCAGTTTGTTATTGATTTTTATTAGAGTTTTATATGCTTTAGTTTTATTAGAGTTTTAAGTATTTTAGCAGTTTCTAATTTTCACTCAGAACAGTTTCCTGTTTTGTAAAGTGAAGTAGTTTGTTTTTTCTCCCTTCCTCTCTTTTTTATAGCTCAAAATTGTAGCAGTTTGGCTCTTAGATCTTCGTTATATATATTCTGTTAACAGAGGACTTTGCACAAATCATAGATTTAGCAGATACTTACCATTTCAGTTTAGTGGATGGGTTCAGAACAGAAGGCAGAAGAGCTGGGTTCTCATTTTGACTGTGCTGATCATTTGCTTTGTGACCTTTTGCAAGTCAATGAACCTCTCCATTGTTGGCAGTATCGTGTAGTAAATGAGAGCTGAGTTCTATAGTTAGCCAGGTGTGGATTTTAATTCCAGCCTGGGCAGTTACTGATGTGTAGCCTCAAATACATTGTTGAACATCTCCAAGCTTCAATCTCTCAGATATAAAATGGAGATAATAACTAGTATTTAATTCATTGGTGGTTGTGAGAAAATGCATATGAATTGCTTATTACAGGGCTTGGCTTATAGTAACTGTTCAGAATTTTAGCGATTGTTATATTTGTCCTCTTGATTATAAATGGGAAGCATATGCTCACCCTTCAGAGTTATTGAATCAGATGAAATTATGTAGAAAATATTGATTCAAAATGTAAGACGGTAGTTGTCAGGATCACTAACTTTGGGGTAAACAGTTTTCAAGATTTTTTTTAGATCACAACAATAGTATATGGCAGTAGGTGAAACTCCTACTACCTCTGTGATCTGCACTTCTCCATATTCCAGTTGGTTTGAAAGGAAATTATTCCCTTGATATTGATTAGCCAGCCAAGTGCTCTACCAAACAGTGCTTCCAGAGGACCTTTTATGGAGAACCTGGTCACACCGTCACAGCTCTAGCCTCCCGAGGATAGCGAGTGCTTGAGATGTCCCTGACTGTTTTAGATTTTTTTTAAGGATCTAGCACTCATCAGTATTTCTTCAAGTTCAAGTTTTCAAGGTTTAAGTTCCTTCTCCTTCCTCTTCATGACTATGTAAGCTTTGGTAACAACACCTCTTTGGTTGAGGCCTGGTGTCACATGAAAGTCCTCTGCTTCCTGTCTGTGTCTGAAGCATTTCTGACATTCCTATGTCCTTGAGGTGACATACCAGACCATTCTAGCACTCAGGGCTCCTGAATCCCAGGCCAGTGCCCTGATCCCCCCAACCTGATGTCTCCTTTGCCAGTGTCCCCTGAGTTTTTTACCTGTCCCGGTTGTAGTCTGCTCAGTTAGTAGAAAGCACCCAGTGAGTGGCTGGGCGCAAAGTAAACATGAGATGACTATCCATTTCCTCTTCCCTCTCTGACAGGTAAGGGAAGCCCACAGGAAAACACGGGAGCTTTGCAAAGGAGTCAGAGAGCAGGTCTTGGGAAGCCTTGTCTTTGGAAACTAGAGACACCTGCCAGCCTTCCTTTCTTCCTGTGCCCCTGGGTCCTCAGGGCAGAGGAGTGAGCAGCTAGTCCTTGGGACTTCCTTTCTCTGCGAGGCCATTTTCTTAAAGGAAGTGACCCCTTTGGTAACCAGCTTGAGGGGACAACAGAGGTGGTTTTGAGAAAGGCTATTAACAAGGCTTCTTCCTCTCATCTGTCCATTCTACCTACCCTCCCCATTCTGCACCACTGTCCTTTTCCTGCTCCCTGATTTCTTTTATCCTCGCTTCTCAAATCAAAATAATTTCCTTTACTGTAAGCAATATATTTATATGTTGGGATAGTAGAGTCATAGCTAATGAAACTGATTTTTAGTAAGTTATGAATAATCATTATCATAACCATTGCTAAGTGTTATTGTATATTCACTCTGTGCCCAGCAGTGTGCAAAATGCTTCACAGGTATTGTCCTACCTAATTATTTTTTTAAAAATACATGATATAGGTACCTTTGTTATTATTCCTACTTTAAAAATGAGGAAACTGAGGTTCAGAGAAATAATTTACCCAAAATCACGCCAATAGTAAGTAGTAGTAGTAGAACCTAGATTGGAACCCATGGCTGACACCATTATCCATAAAATTCTAGTTAGTAAAAACCGAAAATGTACAGGTGAGGGATATTTGGTATTTCTGGCTAGAGTGAAGGAGGAAACATCACAGATACTCCCTCACTTAGGAATGTACAGTTGGTATGAGAAAGTCAGAGAGGAGCCTCAGTGATTTTTTTCATGCTGCCCAGTATTTATATATATTTCCTCTCCCTCAGGCTGACCCCACAGTTGCTACCAGGCTTGCTTGTGTTCCCTGCCTAAAGCTGGCCCTACACTCATTGCTCTCTTCCTCTGTGGACTGTGCCGCGGCCTACTGAGGAGGTTCTTCCTTTCAGCAGGCTCTTGGCTGTGTTGGTCCCTGGGCATTGTGTCTGTCACTGCAAATAACCACAGAACAAGCCACTGCCAGAACTCTGCAACCTGCCCAGCTTCCCTCTGGTTTTTCTAGTATAACTCGCTCGCTAGCACCTTAATTTTTAAAAATTTGCCCAGACTATTACTCCTCACTTTTGCCCAAAACACTCACCAACCCACATGCCATCTGGGTGGCCACATAAGGGGAACAATTGCCATTGTTCAATTAACTGTTGATCGTTTTCTTTGGCAGGAAAAGGAAAAAGAGAAAGATAAAATTAAGGAGAAGGAGAAAGACTCTAAGGAGAAGGAGAAAGACAAGAAGACTCTGAACGGACACACTTTCAGTCCCATTCCTGTCGTGGGTCCTATCAGCTGCAGCCAGTGCATGAAGCCTTTCACCAGCAAAGACGCCTACACTTGTGCAAGTAAGAGACGAGCTTCCTCCTCTCATGAAAGGGGACTCTCCTGGCTCAGGAAGGCTCATTTCTAGTTTCCTGTCCATCCCACCCCTTATCTGTTCCCCATTTATGTGGAGAAGTAACCCTTTTCACAGTTTCTTTAAATATCCTGGAAGAAATAAAGTCTAGGTATATATCATACAGCCCCTATTCGTTTCAGACAGCCACAATTTCAAATACAGATGGTCCCTGACTTAGGATTGTTTAACTTTTGATTTTTCAACTTTACAATGGTTTGAAAGTGATAAAGCATAGTTTGAGTATCCATATAACCATTCTGTTTTTCAATTTCAGTACAGTATTCAATAAATTATGTAGGCTATTCAACACTTTATTATAAAATAGGCTGTGTGTTAGATGATTTTGCCCAACTATAGGCTCATGTAAGCGTTCTGAGCATGTTTAGGTAGGTTAAGCTAAGCTATGATGTTTGATAGGTTTGGGTATACTAAATGCATTTTCAGTGCATTTTCAACTTAGGATGGATTTTATCTGCATGTAATCCCATCATAAGTCGAGATGCATCTGCACTTCGTTCTGTGGTCTCTAAACCATTCCATATTACAGAAGTCTGTGTCAGCATCAAAACAACCCACAGCCTCAAATCCTAAAGCTACTCAGCAGCTCCTTGTCAGATCCTATACACTCATTTTTTTTATTCTAGGACTTGTTGCATGCCTTAGCCATTTACCAGTGTTCAGCCATGGTGACTGCCCAGGGAGAGCACCTCCTGCACAGACACTCCATGCTGGCCTACTGCAGGCCACTGTAAGGCATCTTTGATAAGATGCTCTCAGGCAGGAGTTGGTTAACTTTTTCTGTACAGGAACAGATAACAAATATCTTAGGCTTTGTGGGCCGTGTGGTCTCTGTCACAACTACTGAACTCTGCAGTTGCAATGCAAAAGCAGCCATAGACAATACAGAAACCAATGAGATGGCTGTATTCCAATAAAACTTTATTTGGGGACACTAAAATTTGGGGGTGGGTATATACATACATAATGAGTGAGATGTGTACCCTCTGGGGGATGGTCACACTTGAAGCTCAGACTTGGGGGAGAGGGGTAAGGGCATTATTTGAAACCTTAAAATTTGTACCCCCATAATATGCTGAAATAAAAAAAAATTATTTAAAATGTAAAAACGATTCATACCTCATGGGCTATCTAAAAGCAGGCTACAGGCCAAATTGGGCCCCCAGGCCATAATTTGCAAATGTCTGCTCTGAGGCAGTACATCTCAATTTATTGCACATATAGAAAATAATAATATTTATAGAGCACACCACGGTAAATCAAGGAGGTTGCTTGTAGTCAGAGGTGACCAGTCTGGAGATCCAGCTACCCCACACCCAGCCCAGTCACTCAGAAGGGTGAGGTGTTAGCATCATGTTATACCTATAAGCCTATAACCAGTTCAGACAAAATTGTGACTAATTTAGACTCCAAGGAGCAAGTCTCAGACCATGATGCCATGGTGTCTTTTTTTCAGTCATTTATGTTGCATATCCCAAGGAATTTGTTACTAAAAATAGGTAACTTGGCCGGGCATGGTGGCTCATGCCTGTAATCCTAGCACTCTGGGAGGTCGAGACGGGCGGATCGTTTGAGCTCAGGAGTTTGAGACCAACCTGAGCAAGAGCGAGACCCCGTCTCTACTAAAACAATAGAAAGAAATTAGCTGGACAACTGAAAATACATAGAAAATTTAGCTGGGCATGGTGACACATGCCGGTAGTCCGAGCTACCTGAGAGGCTGAGGCAGGAGGATTGCTTGAGCCCAGGAGTTTGAGGTTGCTGTGAGCTACAACACCCTAGCCTAGGCAACAAAAGTGAGACTTAGTCATTAATTAATACTAAATATTTTACGTATTTGGTACATAATAATACAATAATATTTTATTTCATTAAGACTTCTTAAAGTAGAAAACCAGCAAAACAGTGGATTAGCTACATTGTGGGATGGGACCTTGTTTTTTATGAACCTGTTAATTTCAACATGAAGTCACCCAAGGCATCTGCTTCTTCTGGAAGCAGATTATTTCAGGAAACCCAATGTGTCATCACTAGACTAGAGTCTTTTCTGTTTGAGAGGTCTGTCTGGGGGAGAGGTATCATAATGTCCTTTGCTAGTATTCTCTGATTTATAGTAATGGCTTGATCTGTTCAAATGTCAGAGGTGACTGGGCCCAGTGGCTCATGCCTGTAATCTCAGTGCTTTGGGAGGCTGAGATGGGAAGATCACTTAAGGCCAAGAGTTTTGAGACCTACCTGGCCAGTATAGTGAGACCCCATCTCTACAAAAAATGTTTTTTAAAAATTAGCCAGGCGTGGTGACACACACCTTTAGTCCTAGCTACTCGGGACTAAGTCAGGAGGATGGATTACTTGAGTCCAGGAGTTCAAGGTTACAGTGTGCTAGTCAGGCCACTGTGCTCCAGCCAGGGCAACAGAGCAAAATCTTGTCTCTTAAAAAAAAAAAAAAATTTCAGGTTATCTTAGTTCTACCTGCTTACCAAAAACAAAGAAAAAGAGTTAACATTTTTAAGGTTTAAACTAAAAAGACTCAGATAGAAAAAAGGAATCGTTTAAGTAGGACTTGATTATTACCCTAATAATGCACCTAAGTTTCAAAAATACACTTTTAATTTGTATACCACCCCACATCAGAAACTGAGGAGCCCAGTGCTTCATCTGCGGCTTTGCGCCCTACTCCAGAGGTAGTGTTGAAATAGTCTCAATGTTTGGTGTTGGCATTAAGGTTTGTGGAGCCTGCCTCTTGTAAAAAAGGAGGGAGGGGGAATCAAAGCTTGAAAGCAAAGGACAAGTATGTAGTCATCTTCCCAAAGGAACAGACGTAATGAAATGATTCTCTTTAGCTTCCTGAAGAACAGAGCCTGCATGTTTGTATGAAGCCCCATCTGTTATCTTGGCAGGAAGTAGAAAATATGAGTAATTTGGGGACTCAGAATCTTTTGTCCCTTCCCTCCATTTACTCTGATGTGCAGGATCTTCCCAGGAGTCTCTGGAAACATAGCGTCTGTGCAATTAGTCATTTACATCCAGGAAACTATTGTGCTTTAGAAGAAAGCAGCTTTCCTTCTTGGTTTAACATAACCCTATTTTGCTGACCACTAGATGGAGCTTCATACCCCAAGCAGCTGCTCAGTAAGGTTTTGACTCATAGCTTAGCTCATCCATACAGTCCACCGTGATGATGTATATTCATGGTTTATATTGATTTGCTCCTGTCTTCCACATGCCTTTAGCCCCTTTACTGTATCCATCTGCATACAAGTACTAAGGGATCTACAGGAGGGAATGTTTTAAAACAAATCAGCATCTCTGACTCCACTGGACTATACCTGGACCGGCCTCAGATCATAAGGGTGAAAGCTGAATCCCTTATGTGGGCTAAGATGGATACGTTCATGACCAGACACTAGAAATAGTGAGCAAAGCATCCATATGGCTCCCTTGCAGTCTACTCCTGGATTTAAAACAAAACAAAAACCCGTGGAAGCAAAACCTGAGGCTTTTGATCAGGGCTATTTCAAAATAATTTAAATAAGGAGAAATCTTGGAGGTTTCTTTCTCAGCCAGAACTATTCTTTGTAGGATTAGGTGATTTTAATGAAGAGAGGGATATCTTTTTGCTTCTTATTTCTTTATTATATAAAGCTGTCCTTGAATAATCTGCTGCTCTTTCAGCTGCCACAAGTAATTTGGTCTTTAGAAAGCTTGGTGGAGTCCTTTGTTATGTTTGGGGTTTTGGGGTCTTGCCAGTGGTTCTGTTTTGTTTGCTTTAAACAGATATAAAATGATGTTGAGATTATTGTTGATTTATTTTCTGTTGCGTTAGCAGCTTCTGAGTACTTTTGTGGTAGGTTGTTACTCTTGATTAAAAAAAATAAACAAGTAGACCAGCTGCAATCTAAGTAGGAAGCATAAGAATTTAGAGTATGTGTGATGGCTGGATTTTGCTTTGGATTTCATCAGGAAAAGCGTCTCTCTAGTTTTCTGGCATTAAGAGTTCATTGCTTATATGAGAGAGTAAAATACATATAATTGATGAACGAAAGGAAGTTTGTTATTTTAGAGAATAGGAAAGGGAATGAAGGATAAGTCAGTTCTTTTTCAAGTGGAGCATTTTCATTTTGTTCCATTTTTGTTTACCATTGTTCTTATGAAAACTCCTGTTGTGGGTACTTCAGCTATGATGATTTGGCTCTTTTTTGTGGCTTTCCTCTTGTTCTTTACATCAGCACTGTGGTTATTACACCAGCTACCAAGAACATCTCATATGGCCCTTTGCATATAAACATTATCCAGATCAGGTAATGTTTCACATTCCCTAAAGATTTTATTTTATTTAATTTCTAATTTTTATTTATTTTTTTTGAGACAGAGTCTCACTTTGTTGCCTAGGCTACAGTGAGTGCCATGGCGTCAGCCGAGCTCACAGCAACCTCAAACTCATGGGCTCAAGCGATCCTCCTGCCTCAGCCTCCCGAGTAGCTGGGACTACAGGCATGTGCCACCATGCCCGGCTAATTTTTTCTGTATATATATTAGTTGGCCAATTAATTTCTATTTATAGTAGAGACGGGGTCTCGCTCTTGCTCAGGCAGGTTTCGAACTCTTGACCTCGAGCAATACGCCCACCTTGGCCTCCCAGAGTACTAGGCGTGAGCCACCGCACCCGGCCATTCCCTAAAGATTTTTTTTTTTTTTTCTCCCTAAAGATTTTAAACAAGAATTTGCACAAAGAATTTTGGGGCATGCTTTTCTACATTGCTCATATTTGTTTTATTTCCATTTTTGTGGTTAGGGTTGAAATAATAGGAGGAAGTTGCACATTTCTATCTTTAAAGGTAATTCTTCAACTTGTGTTCTTAAGAAGGATCAGATCATTTTTTTCTAAGTAGATTTGCCTGCTCAGATCTGTCCCTAGTAGGAAGAACACAGATAGAGCTCTTCAGCATAGTCCCTAATGACAATCAGTTAGACAAAAGTAAAGGAAGACCCCCTTGTTCAGGGCTCTGGATGCACAGAACTCGGCTCACCAAGGTGACTCTTTACAGAGGCCTTTGATACTCTGTAATTTCATTTGTTTGGCATGGCCCCTCCACTTACCATTCTATAAAGCTGATTTTCATAAGTTAGTCTCTCTAATGGTTTGTTTTATTTTTCTGCTGGAAGAAAAAGAATGCATAGTATATAACAGTGCACCAAAGATCTGCGATGGTTGGTGGCAAGGATTAAAGAAAAATGCAGCAACAGACACGAGATAGTTCCCAGTCATGTGGGTTTAGCTTCATTTTCTTTGATTTGATGCCTCCTTGTAGTGAAGAAAGAAGTTGAAGGCTGGGCTGTTTGCTTTTAAGTTCAGAAGAATATAATTTGGGCTCAGCTCTGTTCCCATAAACCATGGTGCTGAGACCTTTTTGAAGAATTTTGAAAAATGAAAGCATATTGCTTACTGCTATTAGGAAATCTTTCAAATAAATAAATTTTTTAAAAGGCCAGTTAATCCCTCTTTGATCTTCCTAACAACATGGTATGGCTTGTGGCAGAGAGTTTGAAAATGTATTAGGTTTGTCTTCTTACATTCTTGGTAATTGTCAGTTTTCCAAAACAGAGAATAAGGTTTTAATCTCATGTCTTTGGCTGATGTCAGTGGGGCCGAAGTTCTGAATCACCCACGCACAGCACTAAAACCATCGCTGTGAATTGAGTCCAGGATAGCTTGGTAACAAGATGAGTGTTTTTCAAGTAGGTACTTCAGCAGGCTAAGCAGACGTCCATGTGAACTGTTTATCACTAAAACTCGTGACCATAAAATAGAGCATATTAAACTTCCAGCTGGGTTGTGGGTTTCAGGACATGTCTCAGTTAATTAAAAAAGTGAATGTATGTTAAAAGTTCTTTCTAGAAGCACATTTTAAATGTTATTTCTGCTTTTATGATTCATCAAATTGGAATTGTCTTTTAGATCTCAAACACTGGCCTGAGAACTGGAATATTACCTGAGTCTGTTTAAAAATGATAGTACCACTCCCTTGAAAATTGCCATTGCTTAATTCTCTGTAGGGTGTCAGAACTGGCTGGAAGAAAAGGAACAGGAAGAACAGAGCAGATCAGAATTAGTGGCAAGTTCTCAAGTGAATTTAACACCTTCTATGTTGCCCAATAAGTGCCTAAAATACTAGACATAGATCTACTAGATTTCTAATAAAACAAAAGGAAAAATACACCTTTTTGATCGGAATCTTAGACAATAAAATATAGATGAAAATAGTTTGTATCTGAAATATGATAAATTGATTTTTTTTAAGGATAAGGAGCTTTAAAGGATATTAGAGTGTGATACACTAGGTTTTTTTTTTATTAATACAGAATATTGTGCATGAGTAATTTAACAAACACACCTATGTACCCACCACTCAAATGAAACATAGTAACATTCTGTCATTGCTTCAGATTATTTTTTATTTTTCAAGAAACCATTACAGGGCCAGGCGCGGTGGCTCACGCCTGTAATCCTAGCATTCTGGGAGGTTGAGGCGGGCAGATTGCTCGAGGTCAGGAGTTTGAAACAAGCCTGAGCAAGAGCAAGACCCCGTCTTTACTATAAATAGAAATTAACTGGCCAACTAATATATATAGAAAAAAACTAGCAGGGCATGGTGGCACATGCCTGTAGTCCCAGCTACTCGGGAGGCTGAGGCAGCAGGATTGCTTGAGCCCATGAGTTTGAGGTTGCTGTGAGCTAGGCTGATGCCACAGCACTCACTCTAGCCTGGGCAACAAACCAAGACTCTGTCTCAAAAAAAAAAAAGAAACCATTATAGTTCAAGTCAAATTCACCTGTGTTTCCCTGCCCCATTCCTTTTCCTTCCTCTCTAGGGATAAGCACTATCATGAATTCACTGTATTAGTGGTCTGTGTTTTATAATTTTATCTCATATATAAATGGGGGGGTGTTAGTTTAAATAAATCCTGCCATACAGTACATCTCATTTTGTAATACCTTGTGTTTTGCAGATTCAGCATGTTGAAACACGTAGTTCTGATCCTTGACTTTTAACTCTTATATGCTATTCCATTATATGAATGTATTAAATCTGTATCACTGCTCATTTGGGTTATTTCCAACTTCTGTTACAAACAGTGCGCAGTAGACATCCTTATGTGTGTGTGTGTGTCATTAAGTGGTTATATACCAAGAAGCGCTAGCTCAGAGAGTAGGCATATTTTCAACTTTATTAAATGTTGTTGAATTACTCTCTCCAAAGTGGGTGTATCAGTCTCTAGATCCCTTAGCAGATAACGAGAGTTCCTGCATCACTATTTCCTCAGCAGTGCTTAGAACTAGCAGACTTTTATTTTGGCCAGTCTGGACATAAAATGGTATTTCTTTGTTGTTTTAGTTTACATTTATCTGATTTCTAGAGAGATTGAGCACTGTTTTATGTTTTTAGTGAATTGCCTGTTCATAGTCTTGTCCAGTTGATTGTCTTGTTCTTACTATTTTATGAGGAGTTTTTAATATTTTAAAGACACTATTACTGTGTGCTAGTGCCACATTTTATTTCATTTCTAAATATCTGCCTTTCCTTGTCCTTGCCATGGATTCATTAGTTTTAAACATATGGTTTAAAGCATATTCTAATTTAAGTGGAATGGAGTGGATGAGAGGTTCTCCTAATAAATAAGCAAAACTCTGAGAGGGGAAGGAGGGATGGGATTAAAGATGTATTTGAAAGACTTCTGCTGAGCAGGGGTTTGTGAAAGGCAGAGAAAAAAGATGGGGAGGGGAGCTGAGAAGCCTGTGGACGGGAAGGAGAGGATGGCAAGCTGGCCCAGACCACAGCAGGGCCCAGGTCGCTGGCGGCTGCGTGGCAGGGAAGTGGAGACACCACACGCCCTGAGGAAGGGTAGTGCTGAGGACGGGCAGACACACGTTTGCCTTACTGGAAAAACGAATCAAGGAAGTTTGCCTCGACTACTTTTTTACGCTCTTTGCTGTGGGTCCAACTCGCCCGCCCGCCTCCCTTAAAGATTCACAGACAGAAGTAACTTGGGTTCCTTTTTTCATTTTTATATGAGGAAACCGAGGCCTATAGAGAGAGGATTTGTTTGTACGAGGGTACACTAACTAGCACCGGCAGTACCTAAGTCAAATCTAGTTTGACAGTTGTTCTTCCTGTTCTCCTTTTAATGTTAACAAACTGATTATTTCACATACTGTAATCAAGAGTGTGTCGGGGCATTTGGCTTTTATGTAGAGCAGGCATAGGGCATACAGATAGATGTTTGAGTGGGTGCCGTGAGCCTGGCACTGTGCTAGGGAGACTTAATTGAAGATTCAGCAGTGGGTGAATGATCCTGCTCCAGAGGAGCACCAGGTGGAGGAGAAAAACCTAAGGTGACCTCAATACACTGTTACGGGGGCGCGGAGGGGGGTGAGTCAAGTGGGCGTTGAAGGAGCAACCATTACAAAGGGAACGGAAAGGCCTTTGGGGTCTGGGGTCTTGGCAGTCTCCTTTTTGGTACCCACCGTTCCCTGTCATCACTCCAGTCCAAATCCTTAAGTCTGAGCTAGAAGAGATCTTGGTCCATAACTCGCAAGTCGACATAAACAGGCCCTGCACTGCTTCCTGAATCGGCCTGTGCAGCGTTGCCCAGTGCATGGTGTCTGTCATCGATTTCGGAGGGAGCAGGAGAGTCTCTCCTCATCGGTGTCCCCACAGACAAATCTTTTGTTTGTTTCTACTCCACCTCTGGCCTGGTTCTGTTTTATGACTTCACGGGATCCTTCTAAGGTGCAGAAGGGTTGGGTTTTTACATCAGTGGTCCTTGTAGGCCAAGGGAGTAAGAAATAAAAGAATTGCGATAAGATCATGTCCTTGGCAAATTGTGGTTTCTGTGTTCTGTTTCCGGAAGTCTCTCATTTGCTCTTGAGTCAGGGTTCCCAGAGGTGCTTGCGAGTGTTTCCATGACATTTCGTGTGCGGCTCTTGTCTCAGAGAGTGGGTTGCACAAAGCTCAGGGTAGCTAAGACCTCAAGGAAAAGGACGTAAGCAGGTGGATTTTCACATTTCATATTCTGCACTTTGATGCAGTCATACGAATTTTACAACCCATCGGGCTTTACTTACGTATTTATTTGTGACTTAAACTTACATATTGATGGCAGACACTTTCGCTTTTAGTCTTGGTAGCCTCTCAGCTTCCTGTCTGAGAAGTTCTAGACTTCTATTTTTTGTTAAATTAGGAATCACATCTGCTCTTGTTTCTCCCCCACATAACATCACAGGCCCGCTTCCTAAAAGGGGACTGCAGTCTCTAATTTCAGTTAGAGTTGCATTCTTACACGTGAGTGACTTCACTTTGAAATACACCCGCTGCTTGCAGCAGCAATGGAACGTCAGAATCTAGGATCTATGTGCTCTGTCATTGTGACCCTGGGTTTTGCTTTCTTTTCAGATTGCAGTGCTTTTGTGCACAAAGGCTGCCGAGAAAATCTGGCCTGCTGTGCAAAGGTCAGAATGAAGGTAAGACATTTCTGGCTAAAAGAAGGCTTAAAATATTTAATAAAAGGGTTTAAGCCAGTAAAATCCTCGGGAATTGGGAGCGTTGAGGTTGTGGTGGGTTTTGTTTGTTTTAATCATTTGGTACAAACCTTGAGACCAGAATAAGCAAAAAATAATTTTTCTCTAAAGTGATCAATCCTCCTTTTGATTAACATGCTCGGGAATTTGCAACTTTTAGAAAAGAAAATGCTTTCAGAACTTGTTATGTGTTAGATATACATTTCTTGGTGGCTTTAATATTTCTGTGTTGCTGCTGAAGTGGTTTTCTTCTTAACCGCTTCTGCAGACTTGCTCCGCTGTTCACACCCCTCCTCAGACCATGAGGGCAGCAGGTGTTAATCAGAGGCTTTGATCTGCCTGTGGGGTGGGGCAGTTGTTATGATTGGCCCCAGCCTGTCTGGGAGCACTTTTCTCCACAGGTGCATATGCTGGATGTCTCTGATCACAGGATAAAAAAATAAGAAGTGCCCATTGTCTGATGGTACCTACTCTGAGCTTGCATGCTCTGTAGTAATCAGTGGTGCATAGAAAATGATTACAGGTTTGGGGCGTACCTTTTAGGTAGCCAGCATGGTCGTCAGTGTTCTAGTCACCCATAAATGTCTTTTTGCTCCTTGTCAGAAGAGTACTCTCCATCCACATCTGCACAGATGCTCAACGTGCTGTGTGCTTCATTGATAGCCAAACACGTCTGTCTAGTGTGATGGCCTCAATCTGGAAGGTGCATCAGCATCATTTCAAGGGCTTATTAAAAGACAGCTTACTGGGCCCCACTCCCTGAGTTTGAGATTTTGGCATAGAGCCCAGGAATTTGCATTTCTAGTAAGTTCCCAGATTGATGCTGATGGTCCTAGGACCTCACTGTAAGAAGCACTGAACTAGTGTGTAGACGGCAAACTTCTGTACCCCAGGTCTTATTCAGTCTATGGACATGGATTTTGTCTGGCTCGTGTAGTAGTTTTTTAATTCGAGTTAATGCATTTATTTAAAAGTCACATTTCATAGCAGTTTGTATGCTTATTTCTCCTGAAAAATGTTAAGTTCTCACGACCCCAGGCCCACTGGTGTTTCCCCTCACCCAGCACTCAGAGTTGTCCTGAGCCTGCCCTGTTTCCTTTTTTCCATAGTACTTACCACCTTCTCAGAGTCTGTATTTAACCATCTTTACTTATTATACATATGTTTATTTATTATATATATTTATGTATTATGGTCTGTACCCTTCCCCCTCCTAGAATGTAAGCTCCAAACTTGCCAACCATTCTGAAGGCGGGAATCTTTGATCTGTTAATAGAGCCTGAGCACCCAGAATGGTGTCTGGCTTATGATAGATCCTTAAATGTGGGAGGGATGGATGGCAAATGATAGTCACCTGGAGCTGAGAGGCTGCCCCATCCTTTAGACAGGATGAGTTCCAGACTGCCACTGCCTGCCCCCCACCTCACTCTTGCTTCTGTCGATTGCTACCTGCTCAACCCCGTAGTTGTTTGACTTTGTGGTCTCTGGTAAGACTTACTGCTGTTGTGAATGTACTAGGTTCTATAGAACAGTAACGATACAGATCTAGCATCTCCCATGTAAGAGAATATAACCTAATGGGGAGAATTCTGTTTTAAATTGCAAATAACCTATTTCCTCTAATGGTTTATCTCATTAATTTCATCAATCTATAATTTCTCAAAGTGTTATGTACTACAACTAAAGTCTTAACCAGAATTAGCATTTGCCTAAGAATTTAGCACTGTATATTGCTAGTCACTGGAGAAATAGAAATGAAAAGGGCACAGATGCTGCTCTTAAGGAAGCAACTGTCTAGTGGGAAAGATGGACACGCAGTTTCCTTAAATGAGAAGAAAGGGGTGCCAGGCAGTGCCTTGGGCGAGGAGAGGAAAGAAGCTAGTGGTTGTCTTTCCCAAGGAGGCACGGTACTTAAACAGTCCTGCGGTGGAAGAATGCCAGGCCTGTGAAGGTCAGAAAGGCATCCTGGGCAGGAGAGACAGCATCTGCGGCCTGGGAGGGGGCTTGGCGGGTCAGGGGCTGGCAAGTGGGGCAGCCCTCACCGGGATGCGGGTGCTAGGGCCGTGCAGAAGCAGCAGGAGAGGAGGCTGAGCCTCTCCCCTCTACTCCAGGCTTCTCAGAGCTTGACAGAGGGGGAGCTGTCAGTGCAGGATTCCTGAATTTCTCTCTTTTTCCTTAGCAGCCCAAAGGTAGCCTTCAGGCGCATGACACGTCATCACTGCCCACGGTCATTATGAGGAACAAGCGTAAGTAACACAACCCACCTCCCAGAACTCCCTTTCTGACTTTCTAGTTCTGGATTTTAAAATACTGTTGTAATGTTCACTTATTATTCATAATCAAGATTGGAATACCTGTTCTGTGGTAAGTTAGAAAAGACTGCTGTTTTATACTGCAGATTCCTTGACCAATAGCTTGACATTATACTATCAAACCCTCTTTGAAGGTTTCTAGAACAATGTGTGTGTTCATCTAAAGGTAACACCTTTGCCCTATGGGTTTCAGCACGTGACCCCTGTGCATCTCAGTTTCCTGTCTAGTAATAGTTGAGAATTAGACTACTTGCTTTTAGTGCTTCACGGTTGTGTGAATCAAATGAGATCTTGCTTGTTAGACTTCTTTATAAACTGTGAAGCTATAGAAATGGTTCCTTTTTTCCCCAAGGACCTCAAGTGATATGCAAAATTAAGTAAATCACAGTCTCCGAGTCACATCAAATTATTTTTACCAGTGTGTGCAAGACTCCACTTGGGTTTTACTTAATATTCTTCCCTTTTCATTCTCCATTCCCACTGTAATATATTCAACGTATGTCCTAATCTGCTGTATCGTTAGACATATGTGTATCTTTGAAAAAAATCTGTCATTATTTTGTGTTGCATTTAAATTAGATCAGCAGTCCCCAAGCTTTTTGGCACCAGGGACCGGTTTCATGGAAGACAGTTTTTCCACGGACCGGGGGAGGGGATGGGGGGGTGTCGTGGGTGGGTGGGAGGTGGTGCAGGGCTCGGGAGGTGACACACGGCCTGTTTCCTAACAGGCCTGGGGGTTGGGGACCACAGAAATAGATCATATGACTTATGCTTATACATTCTTTCTTTGTTGTTGCTCAATATTGTTTTGAGATCTGTGCATGTTGTTGTTGTAAGCTATTGCTTCAGACTGCTGTATGGTACTCTTATAAAGCATATATCACATTTTAATTATCCAGTTCCACCAACGATAGAATATTTAAATTGTTTTCAATTACCACCATAATAATGCAGTAATAAATATCTGCAGTGTTTTTCAAAGTGTAGTTCCTGGACCAATTAGAAGTGTGTGTTCTTGGGCCCTACCCAGATCTGTGAATCAGAAACTCAGAGATGGAGCCCAGCGGTCTGTGCTTTAATAGATCTCCAGGCAATTCTGATGCCCAGGCAAGCTCGAGGACCGCTGCTTTATGCCTCATTTCTCTAATTACTTCCGACAGCTCCAGAATGGCTATACCTTGTCTGTACTCCCACAGAAGATTTTGAATTCCCTTAGACATATTAAATCCGGTTATTATCCGTCTTTGCATGTAAGACAACTAGAAGAGGAGCTTTGACACCCACCCAGACTGACACCCACTTCAAGCTGTGATCCCACCCATTGCACACAGCTTTTACAAGTCTGATCTTCCTTAAACCCTTTTACTATGACATCCCTTGTTTTTTTTCTGTGACATTATTCCTTGTTTCAGAAGCCTATTTTCTTTAACATCAGATAAAATAATGTATCTTTTTAAATGTCTGTTATGTACCAGGTTCTTTGTTTTATTAACTCTGACCCTCCACATATCATTATTACTGTTCACCCCACTGAGGCAAGGTAGTGGTTAGGAGCACAGATTCTGAATTCAGATTGTATGGGTTTGAGTCTCAGCGCCACCGTTTAATAGCTGTGTAAACTTGGACATTGCTAAACCTCTCTGGGCCTCATTTCCTTCTCTGTAACGGGGGATGATAATAGTATCATGAGGTGGTAGTCAGGTTGAAATCAGATCAGACCTATAAAGTACTTAATAGTAGGTACTCCTCAGGTGTTAGCGTTCACTGCTATCATCATCGCCACAAATAAGGAAACTGAGGTTGAAAAATACCAAGTAGCATTGAGGGTGTAAGACATTAAGTAACTTTTACTGAGTTGGAATATGGATTGGTATCAAACAAGGAAGAGCTGCTATTTTCATCTCCCTGTCTTGCATTTTAGATATAGGTTATTTATAACTTTTAGGATTCTGCATAACATGACTTCATTGAACACCCAGGCATATTCTCCCTCTTCCCAGTTGCTCTTACTCTGTGGGAACAGGGCCCACATCCCATACCCCTGAGTATTTCCTGCAGCAAGGCTCTGGTCATGTTGTAGAGTGTCGTATGTCTGTGTTTTATTGTGTCACTTTCTTCTAAATAGGATTTGAATTGGAAATGAATGATTATATTAATGTTATTAAGTCAGAAACATCCTGAAATACTGTGAAATCCTAACAGCCACCCCAGTCTTATTTCCTTCGGCTCTTGACACTCCTGGGGATGGACGGATAATGTGACTTGTGTCTGGAGCAGGAGCTCAGTTACCAAGGAAAAATAATTTTTTACCAAAGGCCAGGGTGACTACTTTAGCAAATTAGATCTCCATTTTCCTCTTTGGTCATGTTAAGGGTAAATATGCAGCATGAGAACAAATCACATTCGAGCCTTGAGCAATGCGGGCACTAGGGTGCCAGTCCCTTGCACAGCCAGAAAATCTGTATGTAACTTTTGAGTCCCCCAAAACTTAACCACTGATAGCCTATTGTGGACCGTACTAGTGACATAAACAGTCAATTGATACATATTTTGTATGTTAAATGTACTACATACTACATTCTTAAGCTAGAAAAAAGAAAATGTTATTTTTTAAAATCTTAAGGAAGAGAAAATATATTTACTATTGATGAAGTGGAAGTCGATCATCATAAAGGTCTTCGTCCTCATCTCCACGTAGAGTAGGCTGAGGAGGAAGGAGGAGGGCTTGGTCTTACTGCCTCAGGGATGGCAGAGGCAGAAGAAAATCCATGCGTAAGTGGACTCTGCAGTTCACGCCCGTGTTGTTGAAGGGTCAGCTGCTGTTATCTGACATTAAACAAGTGGTACATTTTCCTCATCTGCAAATTAAAGGAATTGATCAAAATCTATACTCTCAAACACTGATCCAAAAAATCACTTGAGCCTGGAAAATATGTAGACTTCCTGGTCCCAATCCCAGAGGACAAGGAGGGCTGGGAATTTCATATCTAACAAGCATTTCAGGTGTTTTGTGATGGGTGGTCCTAGAGAACCCTGGTCCCAGTTATCACTAAGGTTCCTTTTATCCTTAACATTCTTTCAATCTTATTTTTAGTTTAAATTCTAAAATATTCAGTACTTTGACATGATCCTTTATCCTCATTGCCTCGTTTCCATCACACCCCACAGGTAGGTAGCCACTATTCTTAGTTTTTTTTTTTTTTTTTATTTTCCTAGAGTTCCCTTATTAAAGTAAAGCAAATACCAACCTGGATTGTTAATTTTTCTTTCTTTTAAGCATGAAAGAAGGCCTGTTGTGTATTTTGTTTTGTACCTTGCTTGTCCCCCCCTTAGTATATCATGGAGATCTGTGTGAGTACGCGGGGAGCATCCTCATTTTTTTATAAAGCTGCATAGTATTCTGTTGTGTGATACACCATAACTTACTAACCAGTCTTCTTTCAGTACTCATTTGTGTCATTTCCAGTCTTTTGCTTTTACCAACAATGTTGCATTGAATAACTTTGGACATAAATCATTTCAAATATATACGCGTATATCTTGTAGAATGAATGTAGTCTAAAAGTGAAATTACTAGATTAAGACTATAGGCCTTTACAATTTCAATAGTTACTGTTGAACTACCCTCCAAGAGTTTTTGTACCAATTTACACTCCCAAGGCAAATCTGTTTGAAAGCACCTTGCTTCTGTTTGCCATTTGTCAGATGTCAGTACTAGGTGGGCGTGGACCAGTGATGGTTTAATTATTGTCCTCTTTTCCTTTGCAGCCTCACAGCCCAAGGAGCGCCCTCGGTCTGCAGTCCTCCTGGCAGATGAAACCACTACCACCCCAATGTTTGCTAACAGGCGGTCCCAGCAGAGCGTCTCGCTCTCCAAAAGTGTCTCCATACAGAACATTACTGGGTAAGTGGAGATTGAAAGGTAGCACAATTGATATCTAGGTGACAAGAGCATAATACTAATATCATTTGACAAGAAGATTCTTCGCTTAGAAACACATGTGTAACATCATAGGTTGGTGCCCAGCTGGGTGTGCAGGCAAGGAGGATGGGGACTATGTTTCTGATGCCCTGACTGCCGTTTGGCCTCAAGCATCTCCTTTAACCACCTTTATCAGGCAGTTGCTCTCTAGGCTTTTGGACATGATCAGACCTGCTTTTGAAGAAGCTGAGTTCTCAAAAAATGATTTTAGATCAGAATAAGAAGTAGGAATATAAAAACAGATGATTTAATTCTGAATTTTTGGTTGCAACCACTTAGATTTTCAGATGTTACACTTTTCTGCTGTTCAGATAAACCTGGTTGTCTTATTTCTCTTTAAGTCCTTTTTTTATCCTTACCTCTCGACGTTTATCAGATTCATGGAGTTGCATCGTGAGCCATTTACTACTGGTTCCCACTCACTCATTTGCCCTGAGTTTCTTTTGTGGTCCCCTCAGGCCTTGGCTGTCAGGTGGTTAGCACAGGGCTGATTATGATGTGATTGACTGTTTTGGGTAAGACATCTGGCCTTCCCACCAAATAAATAAGTCATCTTAAATGTAGGACTTGAAACACCTCTTAACATGTCTCTTAACCTAGGTTGAAGGAAAATTCATAACTAAAGGATGCAAAGTTTCCTTTTGTCTGTATTTCCTAACCACTGTGCTGGCTAATGTTTCTTCCTCCTTAAAAAAAAAGTTTCAGGTATTTTTGTTTTGTTTTGTTTGTCTTTGTATTCTCATTATCCCCAAAAGCCTTCTCTTTAGAGTTGTAACATTACTAAAGTTTATTTGCATTGTGACTTTGAAAAATTATTCTTTAAATTAAATTTAAGGTTTTAAGGGACTCTTGCTTGTTTTTGTGTCAAAACAATATTTATTGGTGCCTACTATACTAGTTGGTGATTTGGAGTTGATAAAGTCCAAATAATATGGTTTATTTTAAGTGCTCAGTATATAGTTATTTAGAAAACAGGGGGGAAATAGTGTCGTGGTCCAGCAATAAGTTTTAAACAGAGAAATTTCTTATATAATGTTTAATTATAAATGGTTTAAGGGGGTAAGTTCTTCTTGCTTCATATCATTAAAAAAAATAAGGGGGGGGGTGCTCAGTCAGGCATGGAGGCTCACACCTGTAATCCTAGCATTCTAGGAGGCAGAGGCAGGAAGATTGCTTGAGGTCAGGATTCGAGACCAGCCTGAGCAAAAGCAAGACCCCATGCCTACTAAAAATAGAAAAATTAGCCAGGCATGATGGTGCATTGCCTGTAGTCCCAGCTACTCTCGAGGCTGAGGCAGGAGGATCACTTGAGCCCAGGAGTTCGAGGTTGTAGTGATGTTTATGATGCCACTGCACTCTATCCCGGGCGACAGGGACTCTGTCTCAAAAAAACCTCAAAAGGCTCAAAAAGTTTTGAGTTTGCCATAATATTAAATGCTTCCAAACTTCATTTAGTGTTGCATGTTGCTGTGTATCTTACATAAGTAACTCTGTCTTCAGTCACTATAGTACTTTCAGCCAGCTGTCATTTTAGAATTTTTTAAGTAGTCATTAAAGAATACAAACTCAGGCATATCAAAGTATATTTGACAGTATGTACTTCTTTTTGTCCCCAGAGTTGGCAATGATGAGAACATGTCAAACACCTGGAAATTCCTGTCTCATTCAACCGACTCACTAAATAAAATCAGCAAGGTCAATGAGTCAACAGAATCACTTACTGATGAGGGTAAGAAGAAGTCATGGCCTCTATTTTATGCCTCCGTAGAGACTGTGTACAGTTAACCTAGAATATAAGTGTTGATGGAATAATAGGGCCTGCCTCCCCCTTATCTTGTGAAGATTCTTCTATAAGTAGTCTGTAAAGCCTCAGCAGCTTTGTGAAGAACTGATAATCAAACGTACCCTATTATTTGTCCACTGAAGGATGTCATTGATTTTAATATGGGCATATCTTTAGTACAAATGCTTTTTCTTAACCTAGATTTTTGTACACATTCAGTTCTAGATTTCACAGCACACTTGTAAGCCTTTTCTCTTAGACATGTAAAAGCACCAGGTCCCTTCTAGCTCCTATTTCATGTAGGAGTCGTGTCTTCATTATGTTTGATTTATATGATGTTCATCACTCTTAACTAAGGTCTTGAGTATAGAGCCTGTACCTCCCAAAGAGACCACTGGTTCTTTTCTACTACTGGAATATCCTATCCACGAATATCCTCTGTATTAGTGCAGCGTGTTCATGTCTTACAAAGTCAGCCATCACTCTGAGGAAAATCCAGCATAGGCTTTTTAGAGGTCAAAAACCCGAGATTCTGATATTGACTTTTTGGTATTTTGAGGAGTAGGTACAGACATGAATGAAGGACAACTAATGGGAGACTTTGAGATTGACGCCAAACAGCTGGAAGCAGAGTCCTGGAGTCGGATTGTGGATAGCAAGTTTCTGAAACAGCAAAAGAAGGATGTGGTCAAACGGCAAGAGGTGATTTATGGTGAGAGTCTTCATTTTGCTCTGCTTATATTTGATTTGCATGGTCTAGCATTTATAAGCTGGTGATCTGTTGGGCTATGGAAAATCAGTTACTGTGTATGTGCCTCTTAAAGACTTTCTTTAAAAACTTCAAGGTACAGAGATACGGTCTTATTGGTATTCTTTTCTCCCTTTTGCCCCACTCTATTTTTTTAAATTCTGTTGAACATTTTATTTATATATGAGTGCTTATTTATACAGCAGTCCTAGAAGATCTCTTGTGAAGGTACAATTTAGTTCCTTACCTGCACTAGAAGCTAGACTAAACAAGTCATTTCTGAAAACTAGGAACACAGTCTAGTAGGAGAGATACTGAATCCAGTGAAGGCCTCCCTGAAAACCACTCTTTAAGACTGATAGAATCCAGCATACCTATCACTAGAAAGTGGTGTTAGGACACGTGAAGAATAGAGGACTAAGATGAGAACACTTTTGGGGAAAAGATAGCTATCGATCCAGTTTTAAAGTTTGAATTAGACTCTGAACTAGCCTTATGACTGCAGCTGGTCTCTGAAAGAGAATCCTTTATAAAATTATGACTATCCCTGACCCTTGATATCCGTCCTCCTTCCAGAGCTGATGCAGACAGAGTTCCATCACATCCGCACGCTCAAGATTATGAGCGATGTGTACAGCCGGGGGATGATGACAGATCTGCTCTTTGAACAGCAGATGGTGGAAAAGCTGTTCCCCTGTTTGGACGAGCTGATCAGCATACATAGCCAATTCTTTCAGAGGATCCTGGAGCGGAAGAAGGAGTCGCTGGTGGATAAAAGTGAAAAGAACTTTCTCATCAAGAGGATAGGAGATGTGCTTGTAAATCAGGTGAGCAATGGGAAGGATTTCGGGTTCTGCTCACGTGCAGTGGGAAAAGAAAAGCTTTGAAGTTCAGTAGGCACGCATTTGTGTCTTGGCTCTACCATTTATGATCCTTGTAAGCTCAGGAAGTTATTTAATCTCTCTGAGCCTTGATTTCCTTTTCTGTAAAATAGGGACAGTAGGGTTTCTCTCCTAATGCTTTTTTAGATAAAGGGAGGGTATTTATAAAGTACCTAACATATATGGCAGATACGCAATAAAAGTTAGTTTTTTTCATCAAAGTCTGTACCATCATCAGAAATAGTATAGTTTAAGAAATCAGGCCAGACGCAGTGGCTCACACCTATAATCCTAGCTCTCTGGGAGGCTGAGGCAGAAGGATTTCTTGAGGTCAGGAGTTCAAAACCAGCCTGAGCAAGAATGAGACCCTGTTTCTACTTAAAGCAGGAAAAAATTGGCCGGAAACAAAAAATTGGTGGGACATGGGTGGGGAGCACCTGTGGTCTCAGCCACTCGGGAAAGGCTGAGGCAGGAGGATCACTGGAGCCCAGGAGTTGGAGGATACGGTGAGCTCAGCTTACACCACAGCACTCTCTGCCTCAGCTGCTCCTTGGTAAATGGGAAAAGGAAGGCTACCCTGAACCCTTTTCAAGTTTTCTGGAAAGGATCAATTTGTGTTGCCTGTATAGATTTTTAGTATGTGGAACTCAGTGTTTACATGTGTCGTGTGGACTACATACAGATACTCACTGATTTACCCCAACGTGAGCCTATCTGCAGATGCACTGCTGGGATCATACACATTTGGGAATGATTTGAGGGCCATGTGGAATTGTTAGGCCTGCTGGTCTGACGGAAGTAGGTAGGATAAACAGATCCCCAGGGCAACGATGGCTGTTTCTGACGTCTGTCTTATTTATCAAGGTCAAATTAGACAAAATATCTCGTGAAAAACTTCTAGTGAGTCTCTTTGGTTTATTGGTGTGTTTATGACAAATGGAAGTTAGAACACACTTTGCATTTCTTACGTCCATAGTACATAGATATTTCTGGAAGTTATTGGTTTTTTAAATATATCTAACAGCTTTATTGATTTATGTGCCATACAATCCACCCATTCAGAGTGTACAATTAAATGGTTTTTAGTATGTTCACAGTTGTGCAACCATGACTGGTCGATTTTAGAACATTTTCATCACCCCAAAAGGAAGCTTCACTCCCATTAGTAGTCACTCCCCATCCCCCTGCACACACTGAACTGCCCAGTCCTAGCCAGCCACTAGTGTACTTTCTCTCTGCGGGTTTGCCCATTCTGTGGACATTCTGTATAAATGGAAAAAAAACAATATTTGGTCCTTTGCAAGTGGTTTTTTTGTTTGTTTTTACTTATACTAATGCTTTCTAGCTTTATCAAAATTGTAGCATGTGCTTCATTCCTTTTTGTGGCTAAATATCCCATTGTATGGATATGCCTTGTTTTATTTATCCATTGCTGGACATTCTGGTTATTTCCATTTTGGGGCTGTTATGAGTAGTGCAGCTATGAACATTTATGTACAAGTTTTTGTGTGGACATATGTTTTTACTTCTCTTGGGTGTACATCTAGGAGTGGAATTGCTGGGTCATATAGTAACTCCATGTTTATTTAACCTTTTGAGTAACTGCCAGACTATTTTCCAAAGCTGCTGCACCATTTAAATCTTTTGGGAAGGGGTATGAGGACGCACTCTTGGTTTTATAAATAGACTGGAAACTGTTTACAAAATGGCATTAAGAGTTCAGCTCCTTCAGTTATGGTCTAACTTCTGTTCTCTTTTCTCTGCAGTTTTCAGGTGAGAATGCAGAACGCTTAAAGAAGACATATGGCAAATTTTGTGGGCAGCACAACCAGTCTGTAAACTACTTCAAAGACCTTTATACCAAGGATAAGCGTTTTCAAGCCTTTGTAAAGGTATTGATGTAAAGCATGAAAATCCCTGTCACTGTCAAGAGCAATGTGTCACTGTCAGTTTTAGCTAGAGCTGCCTTCTTCATGTCGTTCCTCACAATTTGTTTACTCCCTTGCAGAAGAAGATGAGCAGTGCAGTTGTGAGAAGGCTTGGAATCCCAGAGTGCATATTACTGGTAACCCAGCGCATTACCAAGTACCCAGTTTTATTCCAAAGAATATCGCAATATACCAAAGGTGAGTCTCCTTTCTAATTCGGTGTTCTATGCCAAGCAACTATTTCGTGTGTGTCCAGTAGTACTAGAGACCCCATAGAAGAGCTATTTCATGCTCTAATGGGTGTAAAAGAGATCTGTTTTATCTTGAAAAGAATTTTCTTGAGTGAAAATGTAGACTGTTAGGTGACCTGTGGACAATAGCTAGAAGGAAAGGGCCCGCCTATTGATTCCATCAAGAGCTCAGCCACCTAAACAACTTACTTCTCCCTTATCATCAGACTGGGAGATAACTTCCACCAGTTCTTCCCAGAAGTGCTAGAATTGCTGCTGTTTCTCCTTAAATCAGTCCTTACTGGCTTCTCTCTCTTGGCTAATCCTGCTGGGCAGTTAAAGATTACAAAACAGTGCATTAAACATTAGGTAAACCAAAGACATTAAAAAAAAAAACAAAACTTGTTCCTCTATTAATCTCCCTCCCTAAAAATATTGGGTTCCCTTTAGTTTAGAATGTAGCATATAATTGCATTGTTTTTATATCATTGAAAACTACTAACTTTATTTAGAATTAAACTTGTGACAGCAGTAGGGATAGGCGTGTGACCCCTGCTGTGTGGGCTTCCCTCTGCTGGCATAACCACAAAGGGAAAATAACGTAGAGCAAGAAGACAGGATTCCTTCCCCCTTCCACCCTTGTCTGAAGGGAGCCATTAAAAACAGAATTATTCTTTCCTTCCAAGACAATGAAGTGGAGCAGGAAGATCTTTCACAGTCCTTGAGCCTGGTAAAGGATGTGATTGGAGCTGTGGACAGCAAAGTGGCAAGTTATGAAAAGAAAGTGCGTCTCAATGAGATTTATACAAAGACAGATAGCAAGTCGATCATGAGGATGAAGAGTGGTCAGATGTTTGCCAAGGAAGATTTGAAACGGAAGAAGCTTGTGCGAGACGGGAGTGTGTTTCTGAAGAGCGCAGCGGGAAGGTTGAAAGGTAAGGCTCGGCTCGCTTTTGCCTGAGTCCAAGTGCCTGCACGAGGACAACAGGCAAAATCCAAGTGCTTTTCTTGGAAATTCATCACCAGATTTTTTCCTAGAGAGTCCCATATTCAAACATCTTTTAACCAGAGCAGCAATAATTTAATTGTTCTTAATCTTATATCAAAAAGGACTGGTTTGAGATAGTTTACAAAATGATATGAAACACAGTAAGATGACAAGGAAGTGATGTAGTCAAGGAAAATGGAAAGTTAAGACTTTAGAAAACAAAGCAAAGGATAAGAGTAGTACAGATGTGCAAGCTGTTGAGGAAGGCCTATCCCCTGTAAGAGATGGGCAGCCAATTTGGGATGGTGGTCTGCGGCAAAACTGTTGCAAGGAGAGAGACACAGTGAGTGAGGCAGTTTCACAGAATCCTTGAGATTAAAAACGTATCCCTCGGCCAGTAATCCTAGAATTCTGGGAGGCCAATGCAGGAGGATCTCTTCAGCTCAGGAGTTTGAGACCAGCCTGAACAAAAGCGAGACCCCATCTATACTAAAAGTAAAAAAATTAGCCAGACACCATGGCGTACACCTGTAGTCTTAGCTACTCGGGAGGCTGAGGCAGGAGGATCATTTGAGCCCAAGACATGGAGGTTGCAGTGAGCTATGATGACGCCACTGTACTCTACCCAGGGTGCCAGAGCTAGACTCTGTCTCAAAAACAAAAACAAAATATATCGCTTATTCACAAGAGATTTTAGAGAAATTTGCAGCTTCTGAGACCTTAGTGAAAGGTAAATTTAACTCACCTCATCTAGATTTATTATTATTATTATTATTATTATTATTATTATTATTTTAGGACAGAGTCTCACTCTGTTGCCTGGGCTAGAGTGCCATGGCGTCAGCCTAGCTCACAGCAACCTCAAATT